ACTTCTATACAGTAATTACTCATGCATGACGAATTATACAACTTACCCGTGGTTATAAGATATTTTTAGCAATTCCTTCAATGCTTCAGTGTCGTTATCCGCTTTAAAATGCTTTATGATGTCTATCATAAGTTCTTCATATTGAAAAGATGTCTGATGTGAACCAGGTCTAAATGAATGACATAGTAAATGATGAATAATCAAAATTAGCTTCACAGAGGTCCCGTATACATGACAACGGGACGAAGTCGAACAGGGATAAAATCGAAATTTTCAGTATGTTCACATGAGACCGGCACGAATTTTTTACATCTTTTTTACAGTACTTTTGTGAGCATGCATTGTGCCGAAGTTAAGAGCACAGCCAAGACCGGTCTGAAATGTATTTGTGTTTACATTCATCCCAGTCTGAGCAATTTTTCGTACCGGCTTCATGTAAACTTATGTGATAAATAATATGAAATCTTCCCGGTTTTACTTCGTACCGGTCTCATGTCAACGGTCCTTACAAATTAATAGAAAAATATTTAATCTACCTATACATCCAGCTTAAAAATGTCAAGATTCGCGTCTAAATAATCTTACCTTGGCCAACCACATCGACATCGTACATCACTATCAGCTAAATCATCCAGAATGAGGGCCGAGTGGTAAACCAATATAATGAAATCTTTAGAACGAACCATTTCATTTAAAACATCCAATCTATTTAACAAAAATTGCATTATTGTTATTAATAGAAAGCTTATTGGTATTTAAATTAATGTTATAAAAATCTCGTGAAGCAAAATTTAAAGAGGTAGGTAATCTTCGATTAAGCCCTTTTCGAGTTGAGCCCGACCACGCCCAAACACACCCATTTTTGTCAAGGGCTCTTTCTTCGAGCTAAGCCCTTGACGAAAATGGGTGTGGTTTGGGCGTTATTATGGTTTGGGCGCTAAATTCGAAGATTTTAATACCTACCTCAAATTTAAAGCGGTTGTCAAGTCCACTATGCGCATGTAGACATATTTTGCTTTGAAACATATTGAAATAAATTTATAAATGTGTACTTTCTTTACAACTTACTTATTTTCACTTTGCTTTGCACGGTTTTGAATGAGATGGGTGACGTATATAAGAAAATCACTGCAGTTACTGTAGAGGTTGCTAGAAGTTGACAAACAAAAAAGGGCAACTTCCCATGGACGCAGATGAGGGTAGATCTCAGCACACAGTTTGGCCACGTCTCGCGGAACCAAGTAGTACAATCTATAAAATAGTGTAGGTCATGGTAATGTAAGTAACCTTGGTTAATATTTATCGCCAGCCTGTGAAGAAAACCCAGAGATCCCAAGGATAGTGCAAAGATTCATACAACAGATGATTCCAGCTATAGACTAAATTTTGATCCAGACAAGGGACGAAATCTATCATTATAGCTTAAAAGAACATCCTTAAATTAGTAAAATTGCAAAGTTTGGTTGCAAAATGTTGTAGATTACGAAAAATATAGCCTTGTGAAATTGGCAAATTTTGAATATTTTAGTATTACGCGCGGAAAAATGGACCACTTTCGAGCCGAAGTGGTGCATTTTTCCGCACTAAAATACTCTAATTTCTAATTTCACAGGGCCATATTTTTCGTATTTTACAACATTTCGCAACCAAACTTTGCAATTCTACCAATTTTAGAGTGCTCGTTTGAGCTGTAAATGAAAGATTTCGTCTTTCTTGTCTAAATAAAAAAATAGTCGATAGCTGGAATATCCATTGACTATGACAAACCTTAATTGAATTGAAATAGCTGTATATACAGTGATCAGAGGCATTTTCACATTGAACTATAATCTTAATGCGTAGAGCGCAGTAGTAAAGAGATATTTAATATCATATTCCCTGTTAATGATTGATGACTGAATTTAAGTTATTTTCCAAAGTTTGATTTCCTGAAATTTTTCTTCACCCCTCCCCCCCAAAAACCCCAACTCATTCAAAAATGGAAATCACTCTGGATAGACAGAATCAGCTAATGTTTGTTTACATCGTTGCCACTCAATTCACAACTTTGGATAACTCCCACACCAAGTCATGCAGTATTGTTCTAGTTTATCAGAGGATAGAATAGAACAAAGGTAACTCAGCATCAGAAGTAATATTTCAAATCCGACTATTTGATCGGCCGTGCAATTTGATCACGCCCGAAGTGATGTCGAGGACTGCATGGTTCAAAATGCGGGGACTTGAAATCTAGTCCAGTCCGAGTTGGAGGATTTGACATGACATCTCATACTAATAAATCACTACGTAAAGTGAGGTGAATTAATTTTGATCCAGTCCAAGGACTGGATCAATATACTTCACCAGGTATCCAGTATTATCATGTGAGAAAAATTAAGCAATATCGTTGGTTAATTTACTCATGAAATATTAATGAGTTTGAGATTTATGTATAAGAGTTATTCACTCATGTGGATAATTCTAGTGCCTGGATACCTTCGACAAATAATAAAACTGGAACTAGGGAGGTGAGTTATCCAAGATTCTCTGATCTGAAGTACGAATTCCAGGAAGCGTCTCTGGCCATAAGGATCGTTTGGGTAATGATTTCCCAACTTTACTGTTTATTGCACTCTTAGGGGCTGTTTATATGAGGCGAGCCAGCACGGGTAGCCGAGCTAGCTCGCTTTAGGCGGGATCCCGTCTTTGTTAATATTTCCTACTAAATTTCATGTTGCGTTTATATGAGAACCGAGCTGGCCCGCCTAACCGAGGTCCCGCTTCGTGTGACCCGAGACCTCGGGTAAACAGGCTGGGTAGTTTTCCATATAAACGCAACAGG